CACCCATGGTAACTGTAATGTGAGGGGTAATGATTCCTGGAGGGAGCTGGGATTCTGTGGCTCACTGTGGACAGCAGAGCCTGTGTTCCTGCCAGCCGAGAGGGTAGTCCCAGGGGATCCCAGCTCCCGATTCCCTCCTGTATCTGAGCTGCTGTACTTTGGGGGCCTGCTTGGCAAAGCCAGCAGCGTCTGACCTTTCTCCCCATGCTCACCAGGGAGCCCTGCTCTTCCAAGACCACCCGATATTGAAACCTCTTGGTCAGAGCAGCAAGGAGAGCCCAGGAACCAAACCACCGAACGTGCCCTTTGCGCTGCGGGGCTGCTTCCCCCAAGTGCTGCTCCAGCCTCCTGCAAACAAGCTGCTCGGTTAATGTTTGATTTGCCCGGTGGCGCACAGCCCGGCTGAGCCAGCACAACACCCGGAGCTCCCCGGCACGTGAGTGACCCCGCTGGGGACAGGACACCAAGCCCCGCGTCCTCGCCAAGGATTGCTCCACACGCATCGAATTCCTTCTTGTGGAATTCACTGCCCAGGGAACTGGTGCCCTTCCCTCTGCCCTGGGATTTGCGGTCTTGAGGAGAAGGCAGGCAGGGAGCTGGGGTGCACCTCTTTGACCCGTGGAGCTGGTTGCGTTGTCATCTTTGTGCGTGAGGATTTGCACCCTCAGCAGCCAGCTGCGAGGCACCCGGAGGGCTGAGCAGCCCCTCGGGGTGCTATTACACAGCTCAGCCCCACATCCTGCTCACCCCATGCCTGCCCCCAGGCTGGCTCCAGCAGTGACCAGCTCGGAGCCGGCAGTGGCTGGTGGCCGCAGAGCCAGCTCTTAGCAGCGCTCGCAGATGTTTCCTGCAGAGCAGAACCTGAGTAGCTGGGTATGGCTGGCTGCCAGCACGAACTGAAAGGCTCTTGAGGTCACAGGCTATGCTGGGCCAAGCCAGACAAGAGTGCGGTGGCTGCTGGAAGAGTGCAGGGCGGGTGATAGACACGGCTGGCTCACGTGCATGGAGCATGAGAGCCACACGCGTGTCCTGTGGCTTCTAGATGCCGAACACTGGGACTGGAGTCTCCTGGTCCTCCTTGTGAGCCAGGCGTTTTCCCATCCCCATCCACCGGCTGCCCGGTGCGGGCAGGAAAAGCTGACACCATCCCAGCGTGGCTCTGTTTGCAGGTTGCCAGAGGACCCTGCTACGTTAGAACTGCCACGGAGTGACTGGTGGCCATCCCCAGGCACAGCAGGCAGTGTCTGGTGACAAGGTTTGCTCTCTGGGAGTCACCAGGGTGACAATAGTGCTGCGTCAGCGTCGAGGGCTGGGTGTTTTCTCCAGCTCTCAGCAAAAAGCAAAGGTGAGGGCAGGGCGGCTCAGCTGGCAGGGATGGTGGGGACAGTAACTCCCAACCCCTGGAGCAGGCTGTGCTGGGACCTGGGTCATTGGGCTCTGCTGAGCCTGGAGGTTTGAAGCCAGGGATCGCAGGGTGAAACACTTTCCCAAGGCCTGACCAAGACAAGCGTGATCTGTGCTGACTCAAACCACCTCACGGGCACTTTGGCCTCGGGCAAGGCTGGAGAAGTTCCTCATCCTCCTCTTCCTCCTCCCAGTCGCTGGCTCAGCAGAGGGCTGGCTCTGGGCACCGCACTGCTGGAGCTGTCCCTCTGCCCTGCACATGGCACAGTAGCAGCGTGCCCTGCTGGGGCTGGCAAGCCAGGCTGGGGGGCTGTGAGTCCTTGCCCAGGCGATCTGGGCTGGGATTCAGCCTCCTCCTCCTCCATGTTTAAGCCATTGGCAGCTGGAGCCCACGTGGTCGCCTTTTTTCCTCTGAAGAGGAGACTGGTTGGCTCTTTTATAAGTAGTTGGCTTAAAAATAAATCCCACATCGTCCCTGTTGCTGCAGTGTGGGCACACGACTCCCTGCACCCTTCCCATCCTAGCCCAGGCACCCCAGCGCTTAACATCAAAGCTGCAACAGTGCCCATGGTCCATCCCTCTCTACCAGTGCCTCTGGCCTGGCTAGTCCTGGTTCTGCTGCCTCTGCCCTTGGCTCCCTCCCTGCTTTCCACCACTGCACAGGGCTGGTCTCAGCTTGACAGTGCTCTGGCACATCCCTACCTAAGCTGATTTTGTTCTGGTTCAGTGCCGTGGCTGCACCCCACCAGCAAATGTTTTTCACCCCAGTTACATCCACATGAACCTCCCCATGGCCTGGCTGCACCTTGGCAGCAATGGGGCTGCAGCCTCTGCTCTGGCTCTGGGCTGGGTGCCTGCGGTGGTGAGAGCAAGCCGGGACGGGGGGTCAGGATACCACTTCCCAGCCGCTGGCTTGGAGCCCAGGGGCCTGGCACTCAGCTGGACGTTGGCAAGGTGGTGTGCATCGAGGAGAAGCGTTGGCTGTGCCTGGCTGGGCACAACGTGCCACGGTGCTGGTGCAGGACTACGGTCAGCGAGGACCTTGCTGGTGTCCCCGCAGGTTTGCTGGCTGTGGTTCCCAACCCGGGCGCTGCGGGGAGCGAGGGTGCAAACTGGACAAGAACAGAGGTTTCCCCATGGCTGAAAGCCCCTCCTTGGTTTCCCAGTGCTGGCCTGTAGCTAGGAGCTGGGGAGGGAAACAGGGAGTTTCTGGATTGCCTGGGAGCATGTTACCTTCAGTGCTTGGATGTGGACATGGCTCTGCACCGGCTCAGTTGCCATTGATGTAGATGAGTAAAGATTATGAGCTGAGCAAGAGCAGAGCTTGGCCCCAGTTCTCAAGAGTGTCACAAACTGCTCCGTTCACTTGGTGAATCTGTCCTGGGCTTTATGCTCTGCAACGAGCCAGCTGTGGGCTGAGTGCTGCTGCGACACACAAGTAGTGTTTGGGACTTACTGATGCAGAAGATGGTCAGCTGTGGACTCCTGGCTTCTGGTTCCTGTAGCTTTCCCAAAGTTTTCTTACCCCCTGTGTTTCCCAGGCTGGAAAACTGCAGATCAAGCCCACATCCACGTCTTCAAGGGTGAAGCTTTTTCACAGAATCATAGAATCATAGAACGGTTTGGGTTGGAACGGACCTTAAGATCATCTAGTTCCAAACCCCTGCCATGCACAGGTACACCTTACACTAGCCCGCTCTGCCCAGGTCTCTATCCAACCTGCCCTTGAACACTGCCAGGGATGGAGCATTTACCGCTTCTTTGGGCACCCTCTTCCAGCGCCTCAGCCCCCTCACAGTAAAGAACTTCTTCCTTAGATCCAACCTGAACTCTTTGTCTTTCTCTGGCGCTTCCTGTCCTGCAGCCCATGGGTCTCTCCTCCCCTGTGCCCCACTTGCACCCCATCCACCCCTAACGTGGAGTAGCTGAGCCCCACAGCAGGGAGCCGGCACTCCCAAGCCCCTAAACCCCAGTGTTTGTTTTGCCCCGACAGGCCACCACTCAGTCCCCGGGCGCCGTGACTGAGGACATTTACACCAACGGCTCAGTGTCCGCGGGCAGCCCTGCCCACAGCAGCAGCCGCGAGATGCGCAAGATACGCCTCGTCCAGTTCGAAAAGGTCATGGAAGAGCCCATGGTGAGAGCTGGCAAGATCCCAGTCCCAAAGCCTGGTGTTTCCGCGGGGAGGGTGGAGGGTAGAGCCGTGTCAACAGGCTGGCCCTGGGGGAAGCAGATCGCTGGAGACCTTTGCCATTGGATGAAGATGCTGGATCCTGCAAGTCCCATCAGAGAGTGGTGGTGCTCATGCCAAGAGGAGCTGCAGGAGCTTCGCACCAGGCACAGCCTATTGTGGACATGGGCCTGGAGAGGACTTTGCTGAGAGTGCGGGAGCTCTTCCCCTCCAGCAAGCAGTCATGGATTTTCCTGTCTTCCAGGGAATCACGCTGAAGCTCAACGACAAGCAGAGTTGCATGGTGGCCAGGATCTTCCACGGGGGCATGATTCACAGACAAGGTAACGAGGCCCTCATAGGGGCAGTGTGTGGCATGCACGTCTGCAGAGACAAGGCAGCCCCCCGGCACTGCTGGCTTTCCCCCATGATGAGGACATCTGTGTCTGTTCTCCTCCGCTAGCACATGTCAGAACTCGGGACTCGCTGGTCTGTCTGCATGTTGGCATGTTAATACACCGGAGGCTTTAGGGAGAAATAAAGGATAGGGGGAAGGGCTCTCCCAAAAAGGAACCGGAGACCATCTGTCTCCATCTCGTGATGGGGTCAGTGTAACAAGAGATGGATCATACCCCAGAGACCGCAGTGGAAGCTCTTCCCCCTCCTGAAGTGCACAAGTGGGACAGGCTGGCTGTGGATTGGCTCTGCAGACCAAACGAAGGTGCCAAAAGAAATAAATAGGTGCTGTTTTCTGGTTTTGGGTCTTGCCAAGGGGACATGGAAATGAGATGTTCTGTGCTTAGAAGAAGAGGTCCCTTTTCCAGCCTTGGATCCAAGTGGGAAGTCTGAGCTTACGCCTGCCAAAATAACACAGGAGTCATTCCAGTAACACTACTGGATTGTATCATTTATATTGATAGGATATATAAGTATTATATATTTATAGCAGTATATCTGAGGCTGGAATCTGGCTGGGTATATAAACTGAAAACACACAAAGTCAAGACTGCTTCTGTTAAGGAGGCTGTCATTTGGCTGCAGGGGAGGTACTTGGGGTTGAAACAGGTACTTTGGTCAGTCTAAAGCACTGAAAGACACACAGTGGAAAGCAACCTGATGACCTTCAGACTAGATGAAGTGTATGTGTTGGGTGGAGGGGGAGGAATTCATTTGCCTTGTACTTTAGTCCCATATGCTTAGGTGATACGTGTGGCTCCATAGGCTCCAGGCAAACACCGCAGTGTCCTGGCCACAGCTTGCCCAGGGGGTCAGAAGGCTGGTGGAACTGTGTTGGGTTTGATGAGTGGCTCCTGTCCAGTCCTGCACTTTCATGTTTCTCCTGTGCTGGCAGGCTCCCTTCACGTGGGTGATGAAATCATAGAAATCAATGGGCAGAGCGTGAGCAACCACTCAGTTGACCAGCTGCAGAAGATGCTGGTAGGTATCTGTGTTTGGCAGGGCTGTTCCCTAGGAAAGACCCCTTTGGCCTGCAGATGCACACACTGGCTCAGCATTCACCCCCTCTTAGATACCTGCAGCAGTGTGGTGTGGCAGGGGGCGAATGCTGTGATGCAGCAAAGTGCCAGGTCTCTATACAGCCTTGGTGGTCTTTGCTTGCTGCTTGTTTCTGGCCCCCAAGAACAGCAGTGAAGGCTCTTGGCTGGGTTCCTGACTTGTGCTGATGTGCGTGGGGCTTGGAAACCACCTCTGCTTGCCAAGGCTGCTGTGCAGCTCCAGACCAGGGGCTGGCTGCTCTGGCAGTCCTGAGGATCTCCTATGGGTCTCCTTGGTGCTGTTTTCCTGCTGTTGAGGTCATGGTGACCCTGATAGGCCCTTGCTAGAGACAGCTTTGTGCCACAGTCCTCTTCTGCCTGGTGGGACATCCCTGCTCCAAGGAGGAGCTTGTCTTTGCCTCCTGCGAAGGATGGTTGGCCCAGGAGGCCCCTCCAAGCCTCCGAATGTGGTTATACCCACAGGACCATGTGGGTCTCATTGTGGAGCAACAGTGCATCTGGCCTGCGATAGGCAAGGGAGTGCTGTGCCTCTAATGTCACCAGGAGGGAAGGAGCGAGAGGCCAGTTGCCTCCAGGCACCACCTCCTCCAACTCTTCTTTCTCCCCTTCCTTTGTTCACTAGAAAGAAACCAAGGGGATGGTCTCAATAAAAGTCATTCCCAACCAGCAAAGCCGCCTGCCTGCTCTCCAGGTAAGTGCAACCTCCAGACCCACGGGCTGTGCTGGGACATGGGACGTGGCTGCCGGGCTGAGTGGGACCAGAGCAAAGCGCAGGGGACCGGTGCTGGGGAGAGAGCTGTGCCAAGCCAGGGGAAGAACCAGGAGATGGCTGCCAGTGAGGATGAAGGGTCCTATCCTGTGCTTAGATTGCTGCAAACGAGCAGATTTCAGCCCTGTGTGGATGCATTTACCCAATGTGTGTGCAGGAATGTGGGGCCGGGACTCCCGAGCCCCAGCGGTCCGTGTGTGCAGTGTTTGGTGACGATAGAGCAGCGGCTTTTGTGCCCAACTGCGCACCAGGAAACGTCAGAGGGTTTCCTGCCACCTTCAGAGCCGCAGCCGTTAGAGCCACATCCCCCTTACAGGGCGGCAGCAGCTCCCCGGGGCTCTGGCTGCTCCCCAACCTCACCGGTGCTGGTGCAGCGGCTGCAGGGAGGGTGACGTAGGTCCGGACGCCACCAGCGCGCTTGTGAGCAGCGAGTGGGAGGACGGAAGCGCTGGGGGGAGGAAGGCAGCTCCTTGTGCTGCCTCTGCCGGGGGGTGATGTGCTGTGACACGGTGACACTGCCTCGCGTTGCCTTTGGGGTCCTGCTGCGGCTCGGGATGCTCAGGACAGGGGAGGGCTGGCTCCTCCGCCGAGGCTTCAGTGTGTGGTGGCTGGGATGCAGGATGCTGCCCTGTCTCCGGGTGCAGGAGCCAACCCCAACGTGGACAGGCAGGAGTGGGAGAGGAGCTCAGAGGCAGAGGGTGGATGGTGCTGGGATGAGCTGGGGGCGCCCCTGTGACCCTCCTTTCTTGCCCGGAGAAGTGACATGTGAACATGGTGACAAGTGAAAACTGTCTCCATGTCTTGCTCAGCACACGCTGTCCCCATTCCAGCCCAACCGACCTTGCATGTGTTTGTTTATTAAGCACAGGCTCGTGCCTGTCCTGCTGTCCGTCCGCCCTCCCTGGCCCGAGCCAGCCAGCTCAGTGCCAGGGCAGGAGGTGCCTCTGAGGAGAAGACCACAGTTGCTGACTCACCCAACACTGGCCACGGGCCCGGGGAAGGACACAGGGACAAACTCCTTCCAGCAACAGTTGTTATTCTTCTTGCTGTGTCCAGGGCCATGGTGCTGTCAGCTCACGGGCTGCCCGTGTCTCTGCTTATTGTGGTCCCCTGCTGAGAGTGGACTTCTCCTTCAACTGGATCCCCATGATGGCTTTCATTTCAGGGCCTGGCAGGCAGGACAGTGCAGATCCCGGCATCACGAACCCCCCTCGTCTGGCTTGCCCTGCAGCCTGGTAACCAGCCGCTTTGAGGCCCCTGAGTGTCCCTTGGGGCAGGGCTGCTTGTGAGGATCCTAATGCACTGACCACCCGAGGCTCTCGAGGTCACCTCCAGCCTCTTCCCAGGCATAAACCACAACCTTTTGGCTTTAAAGACCAAGGCTTCTCATGCTGGAACCTGCTTGGTACCTGGGCTGGCAGCAGGCAGGCAAATAGCTGGCCCTTTGCTGGCCCTGGAGCTGTCTGATGCTGACTCCTGATGGGTGTAAGGGAGGGTCCTTCCAAAAGTGACCTGGCTGGGTCTGTCTTGGGGTGCTGGGGCTTGTGGAGCAGAGGGTTCCAGGCAGTGCTTGCTGTGTGTCTCTTGTGTGATGTGTTAATGGGCAGCTTCCTGGTGCCAGAGAGTGCTTTCAAAGCAAGCATCAGTCCTTATCCCAACAGGAGATTCCACTCTTATTGTCTTCCATTGCGAGAGATCTCATGTCACAGCTCGGTCCATATGCTCTGCTTTTCTGGCAGTGAAAGGGAACTATTATTCGTGTCCCGCTGGCCCTGTGCCTCCAGCAGCACTGCTGAAGGAGGACCTACTGTGGGAAACTGTTTTCCTGTGGAACAAGGACAGCATGGTCAGCCCTACCCAGTGAGGATGACTTTCCAGGTCCTGCCTGTCTCATCTGAGCACAGGACATAGGCATCACCCCACATGAATCCCTTTGCCTCTTCACATTTCTGGGATAAACAACTCGATAGGGCGGATGGGCCAGGGACACACTGCAGCTGCAGCAGTGTCTCAGATGAGAAACCATTCACCCAGGCACCGAGAACAAGCGGCGGTGCAGAAAACACCGGGTGCACGTGCGTGGTCTGCCCTCCTGCCAGGGACAGGGGACTCCCATCCACCCTGTTGCTCCCTGACAGTCTGTGCTTCCCGAACAGCCTTCCTGGAAAACAAGGTCCATGTGCAAAACGCTACGATGCTGTTCCTTTCCTGACCTTGCAAAGATATTCGGGGGCTGTGAGAGTCCAAGGAGGGCTTGAGGCCGTGGGGAGGCAGCAGATGGTCTGCTCTGGTGGAAGCAGGCACTGTAGACTCCCTCCCAAAGGAGGAGGGAACAGGGAAGGGCCACTTCCCCATGCCTTCCTGGTGCCAGGGCTTGCCCAGCGCCAGGATGGTGGCACAGTGGCCTGGGGAGCAGGAGCAGCTCGTTTCCCATTGCAGCCGTGATGTACATGATGTTGTGAGAGTAGCTGATGCTGTAGCAGCCAGGACGGATGTAAGCAGGGATGGACAGGACACCAGAGCCTTGGCTCCCCGAGGGCCCTGTGCTCTGCAGTGGGGTGCGCAGTGCTGGGGATTGAGATGTGACCATCCCTGGGGTCCCCAGGACATGGGATTGTAGCAGACCCCAGTTTTGATGGCTCCTCTTTGCTCACCCCATTGCAGACCCCAGTTGCTGTGCACCTCAGTGGTCTCCTCTCCGGCTGGCTCAGCCCACCAGCTCTGTGCAGCACCCGGGGCACTGCAGTGGGGAGCTACACGTCAGGGTCCAGGCGCAAGCTGTGGGGCATGCAGGCCAGCCCAGAGGCAGCAGTTGTTTAACTGGATCCCAGTAGGGCCCAGACATCATCCTCCTTCCTTCCTCCCTCCTCCCAGCATGTCTCACTGCAGCTCCATGCCCAAGAGCTTCCCCCAAGGCTTTGTGCATCTCCTTCTCCCCACCTGGCCTCATGGGGTGTACAAAGCAGCAGGGGATGACATCCCTCCACTGCCAGAGGATGCAATGTGGGGCTGGGATCAGCCAAGTTCAGCCACCCCACATGCCCATGCCTGCTCTCTTTTGCAGATGTTCATGAGGGCGCAGTTTGACTATGACCCCAAGAAAGACAACCTGATCCCCTGCAAGGAAGCGGGGCTGAAGTTTCAGACTGGTGACGTGATTCAAATCATAAACAAGGACGACAGCAACTGGTGGCAGGGCCGGGTGGAGGGCTCCTGCACCGAGTCAGCAGGACTCATCCCTTCTCCGGAGCTGCAGGAGTGGTAGGTGCCTGCATCTGGTCTGGAGCTGGGAGTGGAGGTGGGATCAGTGACCATGTGCTAACAGGAGTGTGGATGTGTTGAGTAACACCAGTGTCACTGCTGGGAAAAGGAGGCAGATGTCTCCTTCATCTGCCACAGGGTGAGCCTTTACTTGTCCCAGCAGCCACCCTTGCACACCTGAGGGGCAATACCTCTGCTCCCCTAGAGCTTGGGGTGATGGATGGACTATGACGGTGTTCTCCTCTCTTGGCAGGCGTGTGGCGAGCGTCACCCAGTCCAGTCAGAGCGAATCCCCGAGCTGTAGCCCCTTTGGGAAGAAGAAGAAGTGCAAAGATAAATACCTGGCCAAGCACAGCTCAAGTAAGTGTGAGTGGGGCAAAGGGCTCCATCCCCAGCCCCAGCCATCTCTCCATGGGAGTCAGACCAAATGGCCCAGCTGTATTGTCAGTGGGACCTTGGAGAATACCCTACATCAACTATTTTACTCCAGAGTCCTTCTGTACTCACAGCTCTACAGTGCACAAGGAAAGGGCTGGCTCATGCAGGACCCAGGCACCAAGCTCCTGTGCTCTCCTGCAGTGGCAACCACTGACTCTTGGCACTGAGCTCCTTGGGAGGCTGGGCTCCTGAGCCTCAAACCCCCTGGGCTGCTGATTGCAACTGGTGAGCAGCCTGAATTGCTCCCCACAACTGCTGTGTCCCCAGTGGGGCAGGGACCCTGCCTCGCAGCACCCATGTGAACACCCTGTGCTAAGCACGCCTGGTGCCAGGCGGGTGCCTGAGGATGTGCTGGCTCCCAGCCTGGCCAGCAGCCCCCCCACCAGCCCCGACCAGGAACAAACAAGGCTGTAAATCAGCAAAATAAATAGAGCTCCCCCAGCAACAAGGTCCCTGCGGTGTCCTGCTGCCTCCCCGTGCAGCTCCCAGGTCCTGCTGCCCTGAGCTGAATCACTGTGTGAGAGCTGCCCTGGCTTCTTTGGTGGCTGCTGGTCCAGCTCCCCATAGCCCTCCACAACCTGCCCTTCGCCCCAAGCAGGGATGAGCTCCCAGCCCAGTCCTGATGCTCCCTCCATTTGCCCAAGAAGCTGGCTTCGTTCTGACACATACATGGTTCTGCTGCTGCAGCCAAGCCAGCTCTGACCACTCTTGTTTCTCCTCTGCTCCAGTTTTTGACCAGCTGGATGTGGTTTCCTATGAGGAGGTGGTGAGGCTGCCTGCCTTCAAGAGGAAGACTCTGGTGCTCATCGGTAGGTCCTGTGTGCCATGGGATCCTGGTGGGGGGACCAGGACTGTACAGGGCTGGGGCAGTGTTGCCCTTAGTAAGCTCTGGGGAGCATTCCTTCTACCTGGAGCAGTCACCAAGCAGGCTGAACTCCATACAGCATTGTGCATGGTCTGGTACCTGCATTGCAGTGCTGGGGTTCAGTTAATCCAGGAGTTTACAGCTCCTGAGTATCTTTATGGGTAATTCTGATTAAAAGCAGCTCTGGTCTGCACAGCTGCCCCAAAGCAAGCACTTGAACTGTGGGTGCTGAGCACTGCAAGTGCTCAGCACTGTGAGCATGGGCAGCCCAGCTCAGCGGGCACTAGTCCATTCTCCAGCTGAGCTACAGGTAAGTGTGCCCAGGGCAGGGAGAGCCACTTCCAGGGCTGGAAGACATCACAGACCAGCTCAGAGAGCAGATCCTGGGCAAGGCTGCAGGAGCTCTGCACCGTTCCTCAGACCCAGAGCTGTGGAGGGGCCCCAGCATCTCCCATCAGGCTTCTCTGAGCCCATCTCCAGCTTCCATCCCTCCTTGTCTGCAGGGGCCAGTGGCGTGGGCCGTAGCCACATCAAGAACGCTCTGCTCAGCAACCACCCGGACAAGTTCATGTACCCACCTCCATGTAAGTACCCAGGGCAGAGGGAACAGGACACATTTCCTCTCACCTCCTCAAACCAGGACCTTCTGACAGCAAATGGGACGTAGGGAGTTGTTCCTCCAGTGCCACCAAGACCCTGATGTTGGAGGCCTCCCTGATGCTGTCCCATGGGCTGAACCTGCCAGTAGATGGCTGCAGGGTTGCTACCACCTGTATTACAAAGACACCTCACTCTTCACATCCCACTGGGTTTGCTGGGTTCCCTACTTGCCCCAGGCAGGAAAGGAATTAAAAGGGGATTAGTACAGCCAAGTCTTGAGGTACACATGGCCCCCATGTGCTAGCCTCATGCTCAGCAAGGGAAGGCAGGATGCCCAGGTCATCCAGAGCAGAGGCTTCTCGCTCTGCTCTGTTCCCTGTTCTTTCTGGGACCAGCACTCACCATTCCCCTCTCTCCGCAGACACCACACGGCCCCAGAAGAAGAATGAGGTGGATGGGAAGGACTACTACTTCGTCTCCACCGAGGAGATGACGCGGGACATCTCAGCCAATGAGTTCCTGGAGTTTGGAAGCTACCAGGGAAACATGTTTGGCACCAAGTTTGAAACAGTGCACAAGATCCACCAGCAGGACAAAGTTGCTATTTTGGACATAGAGCCCCAGGTAGGGAGAGCAGGGGATGGGGTGGCCACGAATTGAAGTCCCTGTGCCCCTGCCTTCCTCTTGCCCACCTGCCCTTCAGAAAGGAAAAAGCCAGGTAGTGCTGGGGCGGCGTTTCCATTCCCAAGACACGGATGCAGTGAGGGTATTCCCTGTCACAGCACACTCCTAGATGTGACAGCAAGGCCAGGGCCAGGCTGCCTTGGGAGTGCAGGGCCAGCATGGGCCACGCACAGAGTCTCTTGCCCCCCTCCATCACCAAGAGTGCGAGTGCTGCTTTGCACAGTGGGGGTTGTGTCCAGTACCCAGCTCAGGGCAGGCTGGGGATGCCCTTATATCCTCCCCATGGGGTGCACGGGAAACCTCTGGTAACTGCATCCTTCTCTCCACAGACCCTGAAGATTGTCCGCACGGCCGAGCTCTCCCCGTTCATAGTGTTCATTGCCCCAACAGACAAGGCAGAGCAGGTGAGTGCAGGGCACTGAGCCCAAGTTCTGCTCATGGAAGGGGGGCAAGGAGCCCACTGCAGCAGCCCAGGGCGCTCTCACTGCTCCACGTCAGCTCCTTCTGTCTGCATTGGTTCTTGTGGTCCAGGAGAGCAGACCAGAGAAACAGGAACTGGTGATTCCTGCAGCTGTAGGCTCTCTCCCAGACTGACAGCCCCCAGCAACCCCTATGCTTGCAGTATAATTAGCCCCTCACATGTAGTGGGGTGTACAGCCCAGCATCCAGAGCCATCTGCAGCTGCAGCAGTGTTGCAGAGCAGGAACATTTATCCTGCCGTTGGCTATGCAAATGGGACACACATACAGCAGCTCTTTTCATTCTTTGCCTCATTAAGCAGCTCATCCCTCCAAAATTGGCATGAAAGCAGCACTGATGCCACAGTTAACTCATGCAGCACCACAAGGCTAGCAGCCACACGCTGCCTTTGCCCAGGAAGCCCCTGATGCAGGGATGCAGGGAGCAGTGCTGCCTGCCCTGCCCAGCCACAGGACCAGCTCCCCTGAGGGCTAACTTCTGCAGGGAAATGGGAAGTGATGGGAGAACAGGGAAACCTGCAGAGCAGTGCTCCTCTTGGACTTGTGTCCAGGGACTTTCCCCCATGACAAGGGGTAATGGCTTTAAGATGAAAGAGGGGAGATTTAGATTAGATATAAGGCAGAAGTTCTTCCCTGTGAGGGTGGTGGGACACTGGCACAGGGTGCCCAGAGAAGCTGTGGCTGCCCCATCCCTGGCAGTGGTCAAGGCCAGGCTGGACGGGGCTTGAAGCAACGTGGTCTAGTGGAAGGTGTCCCTGCCCGTGGCAGGGGGTTGGAACTGGATGAGCTTTAAGGTCCCTTCCACCACAAACCATGGTGTGATTTTACGTCCAGACAAGACCACCTCCCCCAGCTCACTAATTTGGGGTCCATAAAGCTGAAGGGAACAGTTTGCAGGGCAGGTATTTATGCAGCAGAGCAAGCATGACACACATTTAGCAGCACATTAACCTGCAGAGGGCTGTAAAGCCAGCTGCAGCAGGCTGGGGGGCAAGTGCCAGGCCAGGAAGGGCAGTGGACAGCCCGCTGCATCCCACCCCATGGCTGCCTCCAGGCAGAGGAGCTGGCTCTGCCGCAGTGGGCAGGGCCAGCCCCGCTGGTGCAGGCACTATATATAGCTGCTGCTGCAGCTCAGGTACCTGCTTCCTAGGAGGGATGCAGCAGAGCCAAAACACGAGCTGGCAGAGCTCACATGAGCCAGGCAAACTGCTCACTGCCCACCCCAAGAGCTGCTGGGCAACACACAGCAGAGCTCAGCAAGCACCGCAGCCCAAGCTCTTTGCCTGTCCCCAGGCACAGAAGCAGAGAGCTGCTTGTGTTTTAAGGTCCATTAGGGAAGTAAGTGGAAAGGGGTCTGGACTTTGCTGTTGAGGGGCACACAGGGACACGCTGCTGGGGTGCCCCTGCTAGCTGTGCAGAACAGCCACACTGGCTGAAGGAGGCAGGCAGCCTTTGCTTTA